CGGCCCCTCCTCCCGCCACAAGCTCGACGTCTATTCGCCGGACATCGCGGCGCACCCGCCGCCTCCGGACGGCTTTCCGACGGTTCTCTTTGTGTGCGGCGGCGCGTGGATGATCGGTTACCGCATGTGGGCCTTCCTGTTCGGGTGGGTGCTGCAGCGCAACGGGGTGTTTTGCCTGGCGATCGACTAGTTTTGTTTTTGCCTCCATCGGTGGCCGCACCACTCAATGAAAATGCCTGGGCCGCCGCATTTTCTCCCCCCGAAGTTTCCCCTGCCGGGGTTTTTACAGCAGGGGGCAGGGGGTCGACCTCCGCATTGCCAATGTTGTGCTGGGGGGGCAACGCAGCTGGTAAACCGTGGGGGGGGGACTTGAATGGCCCTCGGACGCAGATGAGGATTATGAGGCAGCAGAGGAGCCCCCCGATGATTGCCCCAAGTACGACAAGGGTGATGAGCACCTCTTCAGCCATGCACACCCACTCACAACAGCCGCCGACGGACGCGGGACGACGGCATATAAGATAAGCTCATTGCCGCAACGTACGGGACCGATTGTTTCGCCCTCCCTCACTGGTATGTTCATTGGGGGGGCTGCTTGCAGCCCCATGGGGATGACGCTAAGGGGTTTTTTTTTTTCGCCCCCCCCCCCCCCCCCGCAAGGCGCGCGATACACGACTTCACGTTGACTGAGGGGGGACGACACTGCTTCGGCAGCGTGCACCTCGATCCTGTACCGTGTTTGTGATGACCCCCCCCAATGAACATACCAGTGAGGGTGGGCGAGACGATCGAGGGGTCCCGTACCATGCGGAATCGACCCTATCCAGTGCTCAAGTGCTCAAGAAAAAGGATATGATCTTGCTCGATCGAGACCTCGAGAGACATATCTCGCTGGGCGCTCAGAGCCGTCGGGAAAAAAGGGAAAAAAACAAAGGCCCCAGGATGGAAAGGCCGCCAGGAGGATGGACCCGTCGGTGTGTTCTCTCTCAAACCGGGTCTCGGAAGCTCCCCTTGCCGGTTGCCGCCCGGGTTTCT